GTACAACTACAATGGAAATAATTAGCAGTTGTAAACCTCACATATTGGTTGACCAGTAGAGTAAGATCCATTGCAGTAGAAAAACTAAAGTGAAAGCCCCTTAAGATTCAGTGCTAATGTTCTGCTTCTATTTACATTTAACTCTCCAGTCAGAGGAAGACCAGAAGGAAAATGGCAGATGACAGTGCACTACCATAACTTAACCAAGTAGAAGCCCCAACTGTTCTTGCTATGCTATGTGCGGTATCTTTATTAACATGTTCTTGGGTAAGTGGTGAAAATATTGCTCTGAAAAATGTTGTCATTTTAATACCCATCTGGATGGAGTATCAGAAATAACTTGCATTTGTATGGAATTGACAATGGTCTTGTCCCAGGGCTATGTTAATTCTCTTGCCCCCTATTATAATGTAATCCAAAAGGACCTGGACAGTCTAGACCTTCCACAGGCTGTGACATGTATCTTCAACAAATAGCCATTACGCATTGTTGGGTGTTGTGTGCCCAGAGGGTGGAATACAAGGAATAGATGTAGGAATGGCTCCATTTACCATCACTTCTAGTGACTCACTTGTGAAGTTTGTGCCTCCTGACCCCCTAAATTAGGCACTGTTGGCCTAAAGGTCCTGGGTTTTGCCAGGAGACCCAAGTAAGGGTTCCATTAAACATATAGCTTCCACTGTTTGGGAAAGTAGTGCCAACAGACCACAGAGCACAGAAAGAAGTTACCAGTGGTCCCTGTATATCATGAAAAGGAAGGACTGATGCTATATAATGAGGGTGTGGAAAAATATGTTTGGTACACAGGTAATCTGCTGGAGCATCTCTTATTATTCCTATGCCCCATTTTAACTGTAAATGAGCAAGTAAAGCAACCACCCTCATCGGAGCATGGTGACCAGGCAGGCCACCCACCTCCACTGAAGTGCTGTAGAAGGGAAAGGAAATCTTGAGTGTACGCTGAAGAAGGGAGATCGTGAATATCCGTTAGGCCTCGGGGCTAAAACCTGAGGTAGCACTTGTAGCTCATCCCACAGATCTTTCTTTAATAAGTTTTCTCACAATGTAACCCACCAGACTCTAGGAAAAGGAAGAGGTGGATCTGAGGGGTGCTAGGGGTAGATTATAGGCTATTTTGTATGCACCACCCAGATCCCTAGGTGGGTACTCATCCACCATATCATTGGGTTGCAGGTAAAATGGCTCTTTGGGGGAAAAAATCTGACTTGTAGTACTTGCCGATTTCTGTTATATAAAGTCTCACATCATGGCTGATTTTGAGCTTCTAACAATTTAACACCTAGCCTGAAAAATTCATGAACATTCCTGTTGTGAATATTGGCTGCAAAGAATTCACAGATGATCCCTCTCCAGAGAAATGCCTTGGCTAGATGGATAATTATGCTGGCCACTCCCTGCTACTGCGTCAGGAGGAGGCTAAAGAATGAGTGATTTGGGGTTACAAAAGGTCACCTCCCCCTTGCCTCAGGTTAGGAGCAATACTGAGGTTTAGTTTGTGTTTCGGAGGTCCTCATGGCACCAGGATGAATTTAGTCTCCAGTGAGGACCAGATCTTTGCTTAACTTTCTCTCCGTGTCCTAGTCTGCTTCCTTCTCTCCCATTCTCCTGAGAGTACACTCTGAAAATATCAGAATTTCTATGTCTAGCTCTGCTTCTAGAGAACCTGACCTCAACATTCACCAATAAACCCTCCCTGTTCCTTAACCTTTCTGTGTGACTCTGTGCTATTTTCCTTTATTCATCTTGCCAAAGCTCCACAAACATAAGTAAATGACTTCTATATTTGCTTTATGCTACTTTTCTAAGAAATTGATTTTCAAGTGTGAAGAATAGAATCAACACTGTTGATAACATGAATAATTTCTATTTATATTCCAGGAAGAACATATATAGGTGTTTATTTTGACTTTGAACTAATTTAATTCCTAAAGCTCAGAATAAGAATATCTCAAGACACTTAAAAAGTTGTAATCACAGGACCACACCAGAGAATCTCAAAAAAAGATGAGCCAAAATCTATAAATCACCAATTTTTTTAAAGTAACACTGTGAAAGAGTAGCATCAAATTTAATGAGTAGAAGGACTACTATCTTAGGAAACATTTATGAGGATAAACTTAAAATAAGAAACTTAAAATATAATTAATATAGTTAGAGGAATAAGAAAATGTATTTATAACCTCTGAAATAATATGTCACCTACAAATTTAACTAAATAGAAATCTTGGAAATAAAAATGAAGGCTCCAAGAAAAAAAACCAACTAAATTAATGACTGAATAATAATAGAATAGGCCCATAAGAATAGCTAATTAGTGAACTGGGTAATTGAAGCCAGGAAATTTCTCGTGGTAAAAGAATCAAAGAAATGGAAAATAACTAAAAAATTTAAAATATAGAGGGTATATACAAAAAGATCTGAAAAGAATAGATCCATCTAAGAGTAATTCCAACAGAAGTAGAGGCAATATTCAAAGAAATAAAATTAAAATTTTCCTGTAGCTAGAGAATAATATTCATTCTCAAATTGAATGGTTCCACTGAGTACCAAGCAGGATAAAAGAAGATAGACACATGGATAGATAGAATAGGTAAATAGTTGGATAGATAGGTAGATAGATAGATAATAGATAGATAGATAGATAGATAACTAGATAGATGAATCCTGGTGAAATTTCACAACTTCCTGGATAAAGAGTGTATTTATTACAACTGTGTGTATTCCAGTCAGATGGAAAAGTGAGAGGTTTTACTTAACTTAGGGTATGGAAGGAAGGATTCTGTCTTGCAATAGGATGCTCAGCACAGAAAGCAGTAACATCCTCCAAGAGAGGGAAGAGCGTCATGTCCTCCCAACATTTTACCAACAAATGCATAGTTTCAAATGATAAAGTCTTGGCATGTAGAGGTTACACAGAACTCTTAGAAGCACGTGTCTCCTGCCAGATCCAGCATTAGACAGATAGTTACACGAGCTGGGACTAGTCCATCATGTATCTTAATTCAGACGTGATGCCAGCGACCACCTGACTCGGGCCCTGTGAACTTCCTAAATCCAGCTAGGGGTTAAACGCTCTGCAACATCACAGTCCATGAACAACATCCTTAGCCATCACTCCTAAACTCCCCACTGTCACCCTGCCTGGTGCAAGAATGTTCCTGAACTCAATGCTGTGAAACCGAGTGGGTTCATTACCCAAGAACCCGTCAGAATTGAGCTTGCAAACTTTGAGAGCAGATATTGGTTTATCCTGCAAAGAAAAAAATCCCAAACACCTCCGGAAAGAATATAATGGGTCCTCTACCCAAAATAAACAAACAACAAAGAAAACAACAACAGGAAGAGTTATATTAGGTTTAGCTTTCTTTTTGGCAACGCTGCTTGTTAACAGTTCCTTTTTTTTTTTCCTTTTTCTTTTTTGGACACAATTTCTCAGAGCAAGTTATTTTGTGGATGAAAGGTGTTTGAGGAGGTCATTGACTTTTGCAGGTCAATTGGTTTGAAATTTTAAACCAGACACACTTGAGGTTATTTATGAGAGCTATTCTGTGACAGAGGCAATTTGCTGTAATTCTAGTCATCCTCTTGGTTTTGCAATGAATATTGTTTTGTCACCTGTTTCTTGGACTTCTTTTCCCACCAGGATTCAGGCACAAACTCTTAGGCACGTCTGAAAAACAAGCGAAGAGTTTGCAAGTCGATTTTACCTCTCCTAGGTCAGTCTTCCTTACTTCCACCAGGCTCTCCTTCCTCTCCTTTTCCTACTCCGTCTCCAGGGGCACAAGGCCTCCAGTCCGTCATTCAGAACGCTTGGATTCCTCCCATGGGCACTACAGCACATTCCTGGCTCCACAGATTCCTCCTGATTTTTCCTCTTCTGAGAACTAAGACCTTCTCCTTTCTCACATGGAGTGAGTTATGGTGCAATTAATACTTGCTGGGAATACATAGTATAGTGCATACTCTGGAGCCAGACATCTGGATCCTATCCCCGTCTTTAGCTGACTAGAGCTGTCAGAACAAAGTACCACAAGCTGGAAGGTTTAAACAATAGAAAGTATTGTCTTAAAGTTTTTGGAAATAATAGTGTGAGATTAAGGTGTTGGTAGGGTTGGTTCCGAGGGCTGTGGAGGTGACTCTGTTCCATGCCTCTCTCTTACTTCCTGGTGGTTTGCTGGCAATCTTTGGCATTCTTTGGCGTTTGCCTTTTGCTCTACCACCCAGATCTTTGCCTTCATCTTCACATGGCATTCTCCTTGTGTGTGTGTGTGTGTGTGTTTCTTCAAATTTCCCCTTTTATAAAAATACCAGTCATATTGGATCAGAGGCCCACCCTCCTCCAGTATGACCTCATGTTAAATTAACTGATTACTTCTGCAACAATCCTATTTCGAAAAAAGTTCACGTTCTGAGGCATTGGGAGTTAGGACTTTAATACATGAACTGGGGCAGGGGGCACAATTCAATCCATAACAACCTCAATTCCCAAACCCAAAGTTTTGCATCTATTAAAATTAGAATAACAGTATTATTTACCTCATGGTGTTTTTATGAAGATTGAGAGAATCAATATCTAGATAGCACTGAGAACAATGCTTGACACAGAATAAGCACTACTGATAGTGAGTAACATATTTCTGATATTAAAGCACTTAATAAAGATGTTCAGGAAAAATGTTTTTAACTCAAATCCACCACCGCTTATGGGAGCTATATTTACTTTCAACAGGCAGTTTTTGATTCTTTATTTTTTGCATGCCAAGAAAAATGTCATTACAGGGATAATCATAACATTCACTGCTAAATGCTGCTTATAGTTCCTGAAATATCATGGTCACCTGGCATGAAAAAAATCACACAGACTGATTACCAGGAAAGTTTTTGGTAATATGTTCTAGTAACTCTCAGCTATCTGGCCATGTACTTCAGGAGAGTCATGTGACTTATATTCTTTATAGTTTCATTCAGTAAATTGCCATTTTAGTTTGCTTTATATGAAAATTTTAACTTTAACATAAAATTCTAAATGTACATTTCTGTACATGAATGTGAAACAAAAGAAACAATGTTAGGAAATTCTCCTAGGCTGGTTAAAGTAAGGCATAAACATATTCAATACTGTTAAGATGTAAATTAACAACATACTGCGTTTTGATACAGCTGTATAAATGCTTGTACTTCTATAATCTTGATAATAATAAAGCATTGAGGTTATTTTTATACATATATTTCCTAAAAACCCATTA